TGACATTGCAGTCATTGAAATGCCATTAGCTGCCCCTCTTTGACTTTGAGGCTACACTAGCAGCATCAGGTAGAATAAATGTTTTATAACCAGAAATTGCACTAGGCAATAAAAACAGTCCATATGTGAAAGAAAATAAAGAAAGACAACAATAGTTTCAGAAAATGGAGACAATAAATCATACCACAGCATTGTTTTGCAATATGAACAACCCAGTTACAAGGGTAACCTGCAAGATATTAAGAAAGCCACATCTAAAACTCACCGATGTACTAAACAAAAACAAAATCGTATGTAGTACTAGATATTATGATCATCATATTGTCCAACTCATCAAGTCAACATGTAACCCAGTAAGTTGACTAGCCAATGAAAAACATGTAACCCAGTAAGTTGACTAACCAATGAAAAACATGTAACCCAGTACAGAGTGAATTTTGTTCATATTAAAGCAAAATTCTTACACCCATGTGATCGGAATCTAGTGGATGCAATGAAATAAGAAGGATAGATATAGAAGTCAACCTTCGAGGAGGAATGGCATAACTATTCATCCACTAGACATTGAAGCAAAATCGATATCGTCCATATTTCAGCATTCAACTCTGAATGTACTTACCGATAGAGTATTCCTTAGTATTGATGCACAGTTTATTGCCAAATATAGGTTATCCCTGAGAGCATAGCTATATAAGGTAACATGCCAACAGTGGGATTGATATTGCCTGAATAATGCAAGAATTAAATAAGTATATCGATCCCAAGTAACTTTAAAAAAATAAAATAAAAATAAAAGAAATAAGACAAAAATGCCTAAATTTTACCGCTGAAAACCGTGTAACCATAAGAGGCCCAAGGATTTTCTGAATTGGTGGATATAATAAAAGTTGAAATAGTAGAAGACAAAATCCTGAAATTATAAGTCCATCATCAATGAATTGGCGCAAGAAAATATAAACTCAATAAGCACAAGTCATGTATTTTTCTATGATATATATGCTCACAAATGGAATTCTATGAAATAAAAGAGATAAACATGGCCCCCTTGGGAGGAAATCACTATAAAAGTTTGAACTTTAGAGAGTACAAGTTCTGTACAGAAGCTGGTGAAACATGGAATCACCATTGGGATCAGGACTTACGAACACTGATAAATATACCTAGGAACCCAGCTCCAGGTTCACTTCTTCAGTGGTTTACTGTTTATATTCTCTTTCTAGAATGTTTTCTTTTTTGACTGAGATCTAAAACTAGTGAAATGTTAATATTATAAGTACACTGTTAGCCTTTATTTTCAACATACATGTGCCATATACACCAGTCCCCAGAATTAGATGCCTGAATCCTGATTCCAAAGTGAGCACCCTCCCTAAATGGCCAACGTGATCACCTACAAAGCAAAGGGAAGTAAAGAAAAAAAAAAAAGGAAACATTGCCTAAATGCAGTCCCCATTGGACGATAGTTCTAAAACACAGTAAATTTCCAAGAAGTGAGGAAACATTATATTCGTTTACACGGTACACAGGTACAGATTATGTATACCCCTAAGCCAGTGAAACCTGGAATCAACATTTGGATGAGGTCTACTGACTCCTACAAATACCCCTAGGAGTCCAAGCTTGGTTCACTCTCACTAATTTACTCTTTATATTCTCTTTCTAGAACATTTTAGTTCTCTTGCAATGACATAAAAAGAGAAAAAGAGAAATGTTAATATTTATTATATTGTTATGCGTTGATCTTCAACATGACACATGTCATATTCACCACTGTTGCCTCAGGCATTGGGTGCCTAATTACCGAAGTGAACATGCTCCACCTACGAAGCAAAGGGAAACAACAAAATATGAAAAGAAATCCATGGTTTAAACGCAGTCCAATTTTGGCAATGAGTCCTAAAAAACAGTAAATTTCCATGAAGTGATGAAATCAATGGAAAGTTTGTAATGTAGATGGTAAAATTTCGTACACCCATAAGCCAGTGAAAAGTGGAATTCCTACTAGGATCAGGTCTTCCAGACACCATAAATACCCCTTTGGAATCCAAGCTCCAAATTAACTTCATCGCTAATATATTATTTATATTCTCTCCCTGGAAAATAATGTAGTTTACAATCTCTCTCTCAGGAATCCCATAAATTGAAATCGGAGCTGAGTATTAAAAGGTCTGCAATGGAAAACCCCTAACAATCTTCTGTTTTGCAATAAACCGAACACAAACCACCATTACCACACATATGATTGCCAAACTCCTATGCCAGATGCCAAAGGTTGGACTCTTAACCAGAAATAGTTTTGTCATTAAGCAAGTTGGTTCCATCAACTAATAGAAAGCTCCTATGAAGTGCAATACTAGATATCACACCTCTTGTATTATAGGTGAAAAGGTGATTGATAAGTTCTGATTGATTAGGAGTAAGCTTAATCTATTGCCATATTCATTATATGGGCGGCTAGGCCAAGGAGAATTGAACTCACTTTTGTGACACTTCAATTAGTGCATAGTGTCTAATAAAAAGTCTAGATGGGTAAAAAAGGTATTCTTATGATGGTTAATAAAGTATCTACTCTAAATGGATAGCATGAATAATCTCATTCAAGTAAAATTGTGCAAGCTTCAAATTGCATATGCTATATTTTGACAGTCATAGGATAATGCAATCACAGGGAAATGCACCTGATATAGATAAAACTTCACCCACGTCTTGAGATGAAAACTCAAACCTCCATACTTTTTGTCACTGACTGCCCAAGCGAGAAAATCTACAAAACAATGATAAATGTCACGAATTATGGACTTAGAACTCAAAGTATGACCACCATCTATTTAACAAATTGATCAACATCTAAGTTTTAGATTTGGCTAAAATGTCATTATGAAGTAACTAATCAACATCTAAGTTTTGGATTTGGCTAAAATGTCATTATGGAAGTAACTAATCAACTCTAAGTTTTGGATTGGCTAAAATGTCATTGTGGAAGTAATTGATCACATCTTAGTTTTTTATTACCTAAAATGTCTTATGGAAGTAACTGACCAACATGAAACTATGCCATTATGAAATTGACATCTAAGTCCCTCTAAAATACAATCACTATCAATAGTTCCAAGTAACCTCTTTTAAAGGACCTAAATTATAACTTCTTTACTTTTTAGGATCCTCGTATTCTCAAGAGAACAATCTCTACCACCAACTTGACCTATCCTCCAATGTTATCTCTACTACCAGGTTAGTCTTTCCATCTCATATTTTGAAACAATTTCCACCATCCTTGTTTTACAAAAACAATTTACCAATATTTAGTTATCCATTCAAACATACTACTGACATATCAAGCATAGGTAGGTCATAATAGAGAAGAATAACAGATAAATTAATTTCTTTTTCCTTTCAAGGGATAGAACTGAATTATTCGGATATTTAAACTCACATGTCAATGTTTAATGAAATTCTACCTTTTCCTCACTAACTCATGTCAATCACTTTAAAAATTGAAAACAAATAAAACTTGGTTGATGATTTAAGGGAAATTAACTTTACTTCAGTGTATGCAATCTCTTGAAGTGAAAAAATCAGTATACGGTGATAGTAGACTTAAAGGCCAATTCTTTAAAAGATTTGCTTATGAGATGTTTTTCTTCTTCAGCTTCTATCAAATCTTCTGAGCCAAAAGATTCATTTGAAGAAGCTCCCACCTGTCACATGGTTCACAACTTTCATCTAATGTTGTACCTGCCAGTGCATTGTCTCCTGCATATGCATGATTAGAGATGCTTCATAAGATACCACCCAAAGTGATGAAAAACAGAATGTAATTAGCAGTGTTGTGAAATTTGAAAATATATTGTAATAAAAAAAAAGAGAGATATAGTGAAAATATCTAAGAAATGTAAACCACTAGTTGAATGCTTCAAAACCTTTTTTCCTTTCTTTTTTTTTTTTTTTTTTTTTTTTGCCCAGAGAAAAGATGCTAATATAGAATAATAATATACAACCCCAAAAAACTATACAGGATAAAAACACATCTCCTAATCCAAAATTATCAAAGCAAAAAAATCAAAAACTGCAGAAAATCTTCCTTGGTTATGCACAGAGTTCCCCAACTTGTTGAATAAAGAAAAAATAAACTTCCTGAAACTCAGAAGTAATATCTTCAAAAAATTTCCTATTTCCTATTTCTTCTAGCCATAGAACCCAAAATTACTTTATCCCACATAGACAAGACATTTTCCTTGGTTATATCTTCAAAATTTCCTATTTCCTATTTCTTTCTAGCCATAGAAACCAAAATTACTTTATCCCACATAGACAAGCACATTTCCTTGGTTATATCTTCAAAAATTTTCCTATTTCTTTCTAGCCATAAGAACCCAAAAAACTGCCATAACACACAACTCCATAACACAACAGGTTTTCTTCTAACTCCCAAAAAAAAAAAAAAAAAAAATTTGAAGGAATCAACCATTTTCAGAAACAGAGTCCAATTCATTTCAACTAAGGATGATGTTAGACCACCTGTACACAAGTTCTAAAAGCGAAGGGCAGGAGAGGAATAGAAATTAGTGCATGAGTGTGAGTTGTTAGGAGAGTGTGCAAGTTTGTTAGGAGAATGGTAGGGTGTGCAATGGGTGTGAGTTTGTTAGAATAGGGTGAGATTGTTATGAGTTGGGACACGCACTGGCATAGTTACAAAATAAGAATCGAAGTAGTATATAAAGGATAGTTGAATGGGGGAGACATAGAGAAATATTTCCATAGGCTTATTTGGGAGGTACCCAGCCTCTCGAACTGCTGGCAACTGTCCATTATTCCTTTATTCCTATCAAATATTACTCAGTACCAGTTCTTATTATCTTTTGTTCTCCCTTGATTGTGCATTCTGTTGGTTATTGTATTGTGTGTTGCTGTGGATGTCTGTTTTTGCAGGAGAGTTCCATCAGCTTGGTATCAGAGCTAGGTAGCCTTCAGGCCCACGCTGGGGAATGGTCAAGTCGAAGATGGAGAACAGGATGGAGAATATGGAAAAAGAAATGAAGTCAGTGATGGAGGACATGAGTTCAGTCAAGACTGACATAGGTAGTCTCAAGGATTTCCTAACCGAGATGACAGAGTTGATGAGAATGAGAGATGAGAGGGATGAAAAACGTGACCGCGAGAAAGAGAAGTCCCAGTCAACCTCCGGGGATCAAGACAGTGGTTATGGTAGAGAACAAGACCGAGAAACAAACGGGAAAAGTGAGAAGGAGGAGAAGAAGGGCCGGAAACTTGAGCTCCCAATTTTCAATGGAGAAGACCCTTTTGGATGGACATTTCGAGCAGATCATTATTTTGCAATTAACAGATATGGGCCATCGGAGATGGTGGAAGCCGCGGCAATATGCATGGAAGGCAAGGCATTGAACTGGTACCAATGGATGGAGGGCCGAGACCCTTTCAAATCGTGGGAAGAGCTCAAGGCAGCCTTAATCGCAAGATTCCGGCCGTCGTTCCAAGGATCTGCACATGAAGCGCTTGTGGCGCTGAAGCAAAACTCCACCGTGACGGAATACAGAGAAGATTTTGAATCCCATACGACACCGTTGAAGGATTTGGGGGAAGAGTTGTTGATGGGTGTCTTTATTAACGGGCTCAAGGAAGAAATTAGAGCTGAACTGAGATTGCTAAGGCCCAATTCCCTTCAGGATGTGATTGAGCAAGCCCACCGTGTGGAGGAGAAAAACTGGGTCATGGATAGATGCCGGCCCAAGCCTTTCAAAACCCAGGGAACCAAAGAGAGTTATACCCGAGTATCCAACAGCCCAGATTTGACCCGACCCGCATGGTGGTCCAACCCAGCAAGATTACCCAGTAGCCCCGACCCGACCCACGTGGTGGCCCAACTCATCAAAATCACCAGAATCTAGCCAAGCCGCGTCATCTCGCGCACCCGATTGGAGAGAAAGAGCGCTGGAGAATGGAGTTGCAGGTTTCCGAGGAGGTTCAGGGAGAAGTTTCCGGCGATTGTCTGAGGCCGATATTTAGTACAAACGGGAGAGGAGGCTCTGCTTCCGATGTGACGAGAAGTTCGGACCTAATCATTGCTGTCGAAGTAAATCCTTACAAATCTTGTTAGCATGGGAGGACGACGAGGCCGAGAAGAGTGAACTCCCATCGGAAAATGACGAAATACCCAACCCAGAAGGTATTGACTTAGCTCTTTCTTTAAATTCCATTGTGGGTATCACGTCCGACAAAACCTTGAAGGTAAAAGGGCAAATTTGGGATGCCGATGTGGTGGTGTTGGTGGACAGTGGGGCGTCACATAATTTTATTTCGCATGAGTTGGTCGAGAGGCTGGGTATTGTGGTGGAAAAGGGTAAGCTCTTTTGGGTAATGGTGGGAAATGGTGTCACGGTGAAGGGGGAAGGGGTGTGTCGGCAGGTTTCTCTGGATGTACAGGGGATTCAGATTAGACAGGATTTTTTCCCTTTTGAGTTGGGAGGAGCTGACATTGTTTTAGGTGTTACATGGCTAAGTTCCTTAGGGGATGTGTGCGTCAACTGGAAGAAATTAACCATGAGGTTTCAAGTAGAGGGGAACAGAGTTAGTTTACAAAGGGATCCATCTCTGGTGAAGTCCAAGGTCTCCCTGAAATCCATGATGCGGTCCATTAACAACACTGGGGAAGGGTTCCTGGTGGAGTGCTTTTCAATTGAGGAGGGATTACTGTCCAAGGGGGAGAATGTCAGTCCTGGTGTTCAGGCAGTTTTGGATCAGTACAGACACCTTTTCGACCAACCAACCAAACTCCCTCCACACCGCACCCACGACCATACCATACCCCTCAAAGAAGGTGTGCTAGCCCCTAACATCAAACCCTATAGGTATCCATATTTCCAAAAGAATGAAATTGAAAAATTGGCGGAAGAGATGTTAACAGCCAATATTATCCAGCCTAGTACCAGTCCATTCGCCAGCCCGGTGTTATTAGTCAAGAAAAAGGATGGTAGTTGGAGGTTTTGCGTTGACTACCGGGCCCTCAACGAAATAACAATTCTCGACAAGTTTCCAATTCCCACCATCGAGGAGTTGCTGGACGAATTGGTAGGGGCAACCATCTTCTCTAAGCTGGATCTTCGGTCGGGATACCACCAAATTAGAATTAAAGACAAAGATATTCCCGAAACAGCGTTTCGAATACATGAGAGTCACTATGAGTTTCTGGTTATGCCGTTCGGTTTGACCAACGCACCTTTTACGTTTCAGGCACTAATGAACAGCATCTTTAAGCTGGTCTTGCATAAGTTTGTGCTGGTGTTTTTTGAAGATATTCTGATATACAGCCCGGACTTAGAATCCCACATCACACACCTACGACAAACTCTTAGGATCCTGGACGAGAATGAACTGGTAATGAATGAAAAACTTAGTCCCAGATTTTATGGACCCTTCCAAGTCTTGGAGAAAATTGGTCAGGTGGCCTACAAGATGGAACTACCCACGACAGCCCGTATTCACCCAGTTTGCCATGTTTCTTAGTTAAAGCACAGCCTCCATAGCTCAGTGCCCGTACAACCTCTGCCCTCCTTTCTCACGGATGACCTGGAACTTCAGGTTCAGCCGGCTGAATTGTTGGATGTGGGCACCCTTATGGATGGATCCACTGAGGTTCTCATCCGTTGGCAGGATCTGCCTGCTTTTGATGCTACCTGGGAATCTCAGGATGTAATAAGCAGTCAATTTCCTCAATTCCACCTTGAGGACAAGGTGGCACTGAGGAGCGGGGTGGGGGTGGGGGTGGTATTGTTAGACCACCTGTACACAAGGTCTACAAAGCCAAGGGTAGGAAGAGGAATAGAAATTAGTGCGATGAGGTGTGAGTTGTTAGGAGAGTGTGCGAGTTTGTTAGGAGAATGGTGAGGTGTGCAATGGGTGTGAGTTTGTTAGAATAGGGTGAGATTGTTATGAGGTGGGACACGCGGCTGGCAATTAGTTACAGAATAAGAATCGAAGTAGTATATAAAGGAGATAGTTGAATAGGGGAGACAGAGAGAAATATTTCCATAGGCTTATTTGGGAGGTCCCCAGCTCCTCGAACTGCTGGGAAACTGTCCATTATTCCTTTATTCCTATCAAATATTACTCAGTACCAGTTCTTATTATCTTTTGTTCTCCCTTGATTGTGCATTCTGTTGGTTGTTGTATTGTGTGTTGCTGTGGATGTCTGTTTTTGCAGGGGGGTTCCATCAGATGATAACAGCCTTCAAATAAAAACTAAATGGCAGACAGAAACAGACCAAAGAGCAACTCAACTTTTTTTTCAAGAAAGACAAGATTTGTAGTGGAATAAGTGTTATACAAGTCTAGCCATGGCTATAGTAAGATGATGCAGAAAAGCAAAGATCTCGGAATGAACTTCAATCTTGACAAAATCTATTGCACACAAATAACCAGCCAGAATAACCATAGGCCTGTCTCTGGAGATAATCTATTCCATGCTTCATGAGCCACAGGCAAATATTTGAGTAATGCTACATCCACAAACAAATCTAACAAAGATTTATGTACAAACTGAAGTGGCACAAAATGAATGGAAGAAAGAATATGATGAGTTTGACTTTTTATATTAACTATTCCATTCATTTTGTGCTACATCAGTTTGTACACAAATCTTTGTAAGATTTGTTTATACATCTAGTATTATTGCAAATATTTTGGTGGAAAAATACCCACACAACTTGAAAAGTGTCTTTAACTAGTGATTATCTTTGTCCTCTTCTTCAACCGCACTATAGACTTTGGTGGACCAGTCTCCTTGTTAAAGGTAAGCTCTACAGCCATCCAAAACAGGAGAAAGTTCTAAGCATTTACAGCAGAACATTATTAGAAGTAGATAACTGCATAAGGAATCCCCAAAAAAAGCTTTTTACATTCATAATAATTCTCATGCCTCCCATTGTAATTCATAGCCACACCCAACCAAACAAAATCTCTGCTTCAGAATCAATGCACAATTCCCACTAAATTTATGCAACAAACATCTAAGGAAAGCGTCCCAAAGATTTCTTTTTCAATTTACTTGGCTGATGAGAAAAATGAGAGTACAACAAAAATCATAATGACCAAACAGAAACTGACATTACAATGCATTTAAATGACCAAGAGGATACTGACATTAAAATGTAGAAATCAATACAAATACAAATATGAGGTCCCAAACTTATCAATTCTATCCGTCACCACAATCATCAATATTAGTGTTGTCACATGGATGGGATGAACTATTTGATTATTGATAGACCACCACCCGTTAATATGGTCTATAAGTCAAGAGGTCGTAAAAAGAGCACTAAGGGGTAATGAGTGTGAGTGAGAGTTAGTTACGGGATTATGCATGCAAGTGGCTGGATAGAATAAATTTTGTTAGAATAAGGTTAGTTTAATAAGTATATGGGTATAAATAGCTAGACAGTGGTAAGGGAGGGATCAGCTAAATTCTGATAGGTGATTAAAAGGAGGCTCCCAGCTCCTCGAATTGCTGGGGATCGATCTGTGGGTTGCTCTTTCTTGAGTTGCCATTTCTTTCAATATATTAATATCATTCAGTTTTATTAGATTGTGTCACTTTCTTTTTTGCTCTTGTGTGTTGCGGTTGGGTTGGATTAATTGGACAGGTGGTTCCCTCAATTTGGTATCAGAGCTAGGTTGAATAATGGTAAAATCCAAGATGGAGTACATAATGGAAAATGTGGAAAAGGAAATGCAGACCGTGAAGGAAGATATGGGCACGATGAAGACTGACTTAGGAAGTGTCAAGGAGTACTTAACAGAGATGCGTGAATTGATGCGGCTGAGGGAGGAAAAGGAGGAGAAATGTTATCAGGAGAAGGAGAAAATGTCTTCATCTCCAGAAAATCAGAGTTCCAATGGAGATAAGGGATATGAACGAAATCACAGTGGGGATAGCGGGAAGGACGACAAGAAGATTCACAAACTCGAGCTGCCAAATTTTAACGGAGATGATTCTTTTGGTTGGACCTTCAAGACTGACCGATACTTCGCCATTAATCGATACGAAGAAGCGGAGATGGTAGAGGCCGCCACCATGTGCATGGAGGGAAGAGCCTTAAACTGGTATCAATGGTTAGAATCTCGGAGACCAGTTCAGAATTGGAGGGATTTCAAAGCAGCCTTAATTGCCAGATTCGGACCATCCTTTCAAGGGACAGCCTATGAGGCACTGGTAGCACTAAGACAGACTGCATCAGTGACAAAGTATCGCGAAGAATTTGAAGCACATACAGCACCACTGAAGGAATTGGGAGAAGAGATGCTAATGGGTATCTTTGTCAATGGGTTGAAAGAAGAAATCAAAGCTGAATTGCGCCTCATACAGCCCAAAGAGTTAGGTGAAGTTATGGAGCAAGCCCATCGAGTTGAAGAAAAAAATTGGGTGGTGGAAAAAATTAGGCCCAAAATTACTAAAGCCCAAAGTGTAAAAACTGAGGGTTATTCACGGGTTTCTGCAAGCCAGAGATTGGGCGACCCGGTTGGTGGTCCAACACCACTAAACCTTCGGGCGAGGCGTACTCCTCGTCAAGTCGATTTGTCGACAGGAGAGAAATACCACCGGTGACGACAGCTTCAAGTTCCAAAGGGGACAATTTCCAAAGGTTAACAGAGGCAGAAATTCAACACAGAAGGGAGAAGGGTCTTTGTTTTAGGTGTGATGAAAAGTTCAGCCCTAACCACCGATGTAGAAGCAAATCTCTGTAGATCTTGCTAGCATGGGAAGACGATGATCCAAAGAAGGGAGAAAAACCACTAAACAACGACGAGGAACCCACTACTGAAGGTAACCCTCTAGCTTTATCTATGAACTCTATTGTTGGAATAACCTCTTACAAGACTCTAAAAATTAAAGGGGAGATTGAAGTGGTGGGGGTTATTGTGTTGGTTGACAATGGGGCGTCCCACAATTTTATTTCAGATAACTTGGTGCGAAAGCTGGGCATGCAAATTGAAAAAGGAAAAAGGTTGATGGGTAATGGTGTCACAGTGAGAGGAGAAGGTGTTTGTAAGGGAGTACAACTAGAGGTTCAAGGCGTTAAGATTACCCAAGATTTTTTTCCTTTTGATTTGGGTGGAGCTGATGTGGTATTAAGGGGGACGTGGTTGAGTTCATTAGGTAATGTTTGCGCAAATTGGAAGAATTTAACAATGAAATTTGAGTTGGGGGGCAAAAAGGTGAGTCTACAGGGAGATCCATCCCTGGTTAAGACAGTGGTCTCTCTAAAAGCCATGTTAAGGTCATTGTTTACCGCAGGAGGAGGCTATTTAGTCAAATTTTGTTCTACCGAATATGTGCTAGAACAGAACAGAGAACCCCCCGATCCTAGGATTGTCTCATTGATGGAAGGGTATAACCATTTGTTTGACCAGCCCACTAAACTACCCCCGCACCGACAGCATGACCATGCCATAGTCTTGCAAAAGGGAGCTCGACCACCCAATATACGGCCCTATAGATATCCTTATTTCCAGAAAAATTAAATAGAGAAAATGGTGGGAGAAATATTGGTGGCTCGGATCATTCAGCCTAGCACCAGCCCTTTTGCCAGCCCAGTGTTATTAGTCAAGAAAGAGGATGCGAGTTGGAGGTTTTGTGTTGATTATAGGGCACTCAATGAGATAACTATCCCTGATAAGTTTCCCATACCCACTATCGAAGAGCTATTGGATAAACTAGCTAGGACGGTTTTCTTTTCAAGCTAGATTTACGATCTGGATACCACCAGATTCGATTGAAGGAGGAAAATATTCACAAAACCGCTTTCCGAACTCATGACAATCACTATGAGTTCCTAGTCATGCCATTTGGCCCGACTAATGCACCATCAACTTTTCAAGCCCTAATGAATGCTATTTTTAAGCGTGTTTTGAGAAAATTTGTGTTGGTCTCCTTTGATGATATTTTGATGTACAATCCTAATCTAGATTCCCATGTGATACATCTCAAACAAGCCCTTAAGATTCTACAAGACAACGAACTGGTAATGAACAAGAAGAAGTGCATGTTTGGTCAGAAGAAACTGGAGTATTTAGGCCATTTAATTTCAGCTCAAGGAGTGGAAGCAAACCCACAAAAGATTGAGGCAATGGTTAATTGGCATGTTCCAACCAATGTGAAGGGTCTACGGGGATTTTTAGGGCTTACGGGGTATTATAGGAGATTTGTCAAAGAGTATGGCAGTATTGCACAACCACTTACTGATTTGCTTAAAAAAGATTCATTTAGAAGGAATGAGGGAGCACAAATGGCCTTTGATAGACTCAAGGAAGCTATGACTTCAATTCCAGTCCTAATAGTTCCAAATTTTGCACTTCCCTTTGAAGTGCAAACTGATGCTTCAGGACACGGTATGGGCGCAGTTCTGGTCCAGCAGTCGAGACCCATAGCCTACCTAAGCAAAGCATTTTCACCACAAGCAAAACAGAAATCAGTATATGAACGTGAACTGATGGCAATTGTTTTTGCGGAGCATAAGTGGAGCCCGTATCTATTAGGCAAACGATTCGTCATCAAAATTGACCAAAGGAGTCTGGAATTTCTCACTGACCAGTGAATTAAAACTCCTGAACAACAAAAGTGGTTGTCCAAACTAATGGGGTTCTCCTTCGATATTCACTATTGGCCGAGAAATACAAACAAGGTGGTTGATGCCTTGTCAAGAAGAGTGGAGGGATTAGATTTGAACACCATTCCAGTAGTACAATTTACAGAATATGAAGATTTAGCCAGTGAAACACAAGAAAATCCCAAGTTGCAACCTATCATTCAAGACCTTCTCTTTGACCCTAACAACCGGCCACACTACAGACTTCGGCAGGGGTGTCTATTGTACAAAAACAGAATTGTTTTACCAAAAGGTTCCAGATTCATAGCTAAACTCTTGGCAGAATTCCATTCCAGCCCAGGTGGAGGTTATTCGAGGTTTTTCAGGACTTACAAACGGGTGGCAAACGTTGCTTATTAGGAAGGGATCAGGCAAGATGTTCAAGATTTTGTGAAAGCCTGCACTATTTGCCAACTCAATAAGTATTCAGCCCCCAAGCCGGCCAGGCTTTTACAACCTTTACCTATACCTGATCAAGTCTTTGACAACTTGACGATGGATTTCATTGGAGGTTTACCAAGAGCCAAGGGTTTATATAGTATCCTAGTGGTGGTTGATCGGCTCACCAAATACGGACACTTTATCCTCTTGTCTCACCCTTTTAGTGCGAAGGAGGTTGCTACGGTATTCATGAAGGAAATTGTTAAACTCCATGGTTTTCCCAAGTCCATAGTTTCGGACTGAGATTGACTCTTCATGAGCCAATTTTGGCAAGAAATCTTCAGAGCAACGGGGACTTCTCTCAAGTTCAGTTCCGCATACCACCCACAAACGGATGGCCAAACAGAAGTGGTCAATTAGTGTTTAGAGGCATATTTGAGATGTTTCTGCAGTTCCCAACCTAAACAGTGGCCAAATTGGCTCTCTTAGGCAGAATTTTGGTACAACACAACGTACCATCGGTCCACTAAAATGACACCCTTCAAGGCCCTATATGGCAGGGACCCACCACTCCTTCTCAAGCTTACGAAGCTGCTCAAGGACACATGAAGGAGCAGGCTGATAAACATCGTAGAGATATCAGCTTCTCCCCGGGAGATTATGTATACCTCCAACTTCAGCGCTATAGGTTCAGATCGTTAACCAGGAAACTGAATGAGAGACTCAACCTTAGGTTTTATAGGCCTTTTGAGGTGGTGGAAAGAATTGGTCTGACAGCTTACAAACTGGCTCTACCCTCCACTGCTCGTATTCATCCAGTGCTCCATGTGTCCCAGCACAAACGCAACCTACACAACTCCGTTCCAGTTCAACCACTTCCCACTTTTCTCATCGAAAATATGGAACTCCAGGTTCACCCACAATCAGTTCTGGCGGTGCAGTCCCTACTCAATGGTACCAAAGAGGTCCTCATTCAATGGAAGGACCTGCCCTCCTTTGAAGCCACATGGGAGTCGTTCGACGTCATCAACACACAATTCCCTCAATTTCACCTAGAGGCTATTGATAGACCACCACCCGTTAATATGGTCTATAAGTCGAGGGGTCGTAAAAGATCACTAAGGGGTAATGAGTGTGAGTGAGAGTTAGTTACGGGATTATACATGCAAGTGGCTAGATAGAATAAAGTTTGTTTAGAGTAAGGTTAGATTAGTAAGTATATGGGTATAAATAGCTAGAGAGTGGTAAGGGAGGGATCAACTAAATTCTAATAGGTGATTAAAGAAGGCTCCCAGCTCCTCGAATTGCTGGGGATCGATCTGTGGGTTGCTCTTTCTTGAGTTGCCATTTCTTTCAATATATTAATATCATTCAGTTTTATCAGATTGTGTGTCACTTTCTTTTCTGCTCTTGTGTGTTGCGGTTGGGTTGGATTAATTCGACAGGTGGTTCCATCAGACACACGAGCATAAACTAATCCCCACAGGTGGAATAGTCCAAGCATTCCTAGCCTAGCAAGGGGAAAAAGAAGTTTTACCAAAGAATATTGAAATTTTAGAACTCATTCATAGCACTTCTTAGATTTTAAATCAAGTTTCTGTGAATTNTGTGTGTTACTTTCATTTCTGCTCTTGTGTTTTGTGGTTGGATTGAGTTAATTGAACAGGTGGTTCCATCATAAACTAAGCAAAAGTAAGCCTTAGTTCCAATTACATTGCATTAACTTCATAGACGCTTTTGCACTGTAATCCTTCTGATAAGTAATATCATTGTGTTTGTTGGAACTTGAAAATGGCAATTTAGATTTCTTTATTATAGTCCTCTATTTGCTAGTGTAGCTTCTTTTAAGACTTGTCTTTCTTTATTCAAGGGATATAAAATGTGCCAATATATTGGTGGATGCAAGTGGATCTGTAAAACTTGCAGATTTCGGACTGGCAAAGGTAGGTTTCTTTCGCAACTAAACTCTTGTTTATAAAATTCTTAACTGCAACGCTTCTTAATGTACCTTTGATCTTTCCAGGCAACTAAAATGAATGACGTTAAATCCTGCAAAGGGACTCCATTCTGGATGGCCCCTGAGGTTTGCCTCTTCTCTTGTTGTCTAATTTATATCTCCAAAATATAATAGTGTCCACCATATCTTAAATTGGAAGTGTAACTGAATGACTTGTTTAGTGTTGATTGTTGTCTTATACTCAATGGCTGTAAGTTTTGAATCGAGTTCTTACTGGCATATGTATTTTTTGAATTGACATGTTTGGTTTAAAGTATATTCTTCCTCTTTTTCCTTCAATTTATTTTCTTTATATATCTAGTTTTAAGGACTGTATGTCGAAAATTCTACTTTCTTGCTTTTTAATTTTGAATATTTTTACCTTCCTTTTTATCTCTATCTCAAATGCAAGATATGTCTCCTCTGCTCATCCATCTACATCGGGAAGGGTAATTAGGTAAAGTTGTATGTTTTTGGATCTATTCTAGCTCAGGGCTGGTAAAGGTATGTGTAACCTGGCAAGGACAATGGATAACACTAGAGATGGGAGTGACTAGTAGATGGGAGGCTACTGATCTTGATTAGGGAAGAACCTATTAAGGGGCGAGTAGGGGTTGGTGATCCCACTAAAAAACAAAATTCATTAATTTTTGCTTAGTTTTCTGTTCTGATTAAGCTGTATATGTGTAATGTTTCTAGATTTGACCCCGCTCACTTTTTCTATATGTATATTAAAATTAGTTACCTCCCCACTCACTTAGTTTTCCTAGAATTACATTAAATTATTTAACTTGCCCTCTATAACAATAATTCCCATGTTCCTCCTTGATTTTGAAGGTGCATAGAGATGTTTATGACTGTTTGGAAGGCTAGGAGGCATTTTTTTGCTGTTTTAGGAATCGTTCATTTTGGGAACATGCAAATCAATTTCAGACTATGGTATCAAGTTGTTGGAGTTGTAGATGAGAGAGATTGGAGAAATCTAGAAGAATAGGAAATGGGGAAACTTGTAAGAAACAAAAGTCATTATTCAAAATACATTCATCGTGTCCTTTATTGATCAAAATAATGTATGGACCTTTATATAGGCTTAAACCATACAAAAAGAACACCCCAAAACTCTGTTTATGCTGTGCAGAGACAACTAATTTAAGTAGTTATATACTGATTAAACAACCATAAAAACATATATGAAAACTAGATCAAGATCAGCCCAAAAGCTTTTGTTGTATAAGTTTTCACACTTTTAACTGTTTATTTATATTATAGTTTGTGACCATACTTAATGGTTTGTCTTTTCATTCTATCTGGGAATGATTAGCCATACATCCTTCCAAGGCATTTCAGGTTAACAAAATAATTGTGCAATTTAGGTTGTGAACTTAAAGAACCGTGGGTATGGACTAGCAGCTGATATATGGAGCCTCGGATCCACGGTGCTGGAGATGTTAACCCGTCAACCTCCATACTCCAACTTGGAAGGCGTATGTATTCAGTTTTACTATGTGTTCAAATTGATTTTTACTTTTACATGACTTTCCCTGTTTTATGTGATGTGGTTTGTTTATATTAACATATTATGATTTTTGAAAGATAGTACCGAACTTGAGCATATGTTATTTCCTAAAACACCCAGCTTGTCTGGCTTGCAGTCTAGGTTTCTGTCAAAAGTTAGTTGTTTCGATTTTATTTCATAAAAAGCAGGTCAAGGATAACTCTGAGTGATATTATATGTATGGATTATCCTTGTCCAATATGATAAACTGCCACCGTGCCCTTGCTTTGCAAAAACCTTAATTTTACTACCTTTTCCCCTAGGAACACTAAGTTGTTCTTAGAAGTTGATAGGTTGTTACCCATTCAGAAATTGGATTTTGTGTTTTGGTGATGATATGTTTTTGTATGGGTTGACAGATGCAAGCGTTATTTAGGATAGGCAGGGGTGTACCCCCTGAAGTACCTATCTCACTATCCAAAGATGCCCGAGATTTTATCCTAAAATGCTTACAAGTTAACCCAAATGAGCGCCCTACTGCTGCACAATTATTGGACCATCCATTTTTGAAGAGGCCACTGCAAACTTCCCGGGGTCCTGCTTCTCCTCATTATAACAGCAGGCAGTCTTGAAAGCTTTTGATCAACCTTTGGTGTACAGAAGGAGGTAATCTAGCACCACGAACTTGTATTGTGAACACATATAGAGTTGTAGGTTTGACATCTTGTTATGATAATTGGTTATGGACATAGTCAAGTAGTCAAAATATCTGTGAGTACTTATATGGGCGTGTAACTCTCCAGTTCTTGTGACATTAATGTGCTTTTTTGAGGAAAATTATGCGTCAACATGGTTATTGTTTCAGTTGGCTACATTTAAGGTTCCATATTTTGAATTTGCAGTTGCATCCTTTGTGCATAGGTGTGACAAGGCCTGTTGCCAGTACTTTGAAAGCTCTTGAGAGTATTTTATGCTGCACAGGTGACAGAAGCGAGGCATGTTTTAGCTGTTACATCTACCTGTTGGCAAATTTTTGGTGTTACAGATTCAAATGGTGCACTCTGGGAGAAGCTTTACTAGGCATAGTTTCTGTTACACGATAGCAGAGCATGAACTTGCTGTTGTGTCGAACCAATGGGCAATCAAGATAGTGTGTGCACGATTTCCGTGGATTACCAATTTCTCTCAGATGATTGATGCGTAAATTGGTTGCTCTCGTGTAGCTAGAACTTAGGTGTGTTTTCTGTTATGATTTCTTCTCATTTTTCTCATTTGGATTAAAGTGTTGGAAGGGTCAATTTTGTACCAGGGTAATTGTAAATTTCAGATTGGTGTAAATAACTTAGTTTGGAACATTATCATTATCATTATCAATGAAATGAAATGTATATAATTGCTCCTTTTTTTTTTTCTATTATTTTAATAAAACTCAACATGTTTTCATTTGGACAGTTGTTAGATAATGATTGACGTCAAATGTTTTAGTAATAATGGGTTTATTTCATTTAATAATTCTATACTTATAAAGAATTTCATACAAATACAAAAATTTTCATACAAAATGATATGTTAAAAAATGAATGAAAGAGTGAAACAAAAAATCAAATTTATTATATTCACTCTTTTATTCATTTTCTGGCATTGTTTTAAAAATTAAACTCAAGGGCAACCCGCTCTGAAGGTCGGGTCACGGTTCAATCGGTCCAACTAGTTGGACTGTCGGTTGAATCAATGGTTTGACAGTTCTAACAAAAACACCCTTGATAAATACCATCAAACCCTATAGGTTTGAAATCTAGCAAACACAACCCTGGTCAAATGCAAATCGGCGATCGACTGGGAGAGCAGGGGCGACACACCAGGGAGGGTAGATCGGATGATGGGGAGGGCGAATCGGCAGCTAGCAAGTAAAGGCATCGTTGGAAAATGGTAGATCGATGGTGGAAATCAATGGTCGCGGTGGCTTTTTTTGTTGAGATGACTGGATCTTCATGAACGACGACAAGGGAGCTTGGGAAAAGGTAGATCGATGGTTGAGGAAGCCTGTCGATGCCGGAGAAGGCCGACCAACGCCGGGAAATGGAAGAAAAATCACGCGAAACATCACACGGCGGCTGGAGATGAAGCGTGACAACGCCAGAGAAAGTCAGAAGGTGGTTTCCGACAGTAAGGGAAGGTGGAAGGTCGCTGGAAAAAGGGAGGTAATTGTTGATTTGCATTTGGCCAGAGGGTGTGTTTGCTAGATTTGAAACCTTCAAGGACTGATGCGTATTAGTCAGGGGTGTGTTTGTTATATTTTAAACTTGAAACAGTTAAAAAGAGTGACCCGACCTGGAGAAGGCCCCGGGTCCCGGTCCTGGTCTCGATCCCTGTCTAGGTCTCGGTCCCGGTCCCGGTCCAACCAATAGGACCGGCCGGTTCGGTCCGATTTTTAAAACAGAGTTTATTGGCACATCACTTTCTATGAAAATTTTTATAAGATTTCTTTGTAAACGTAACATTATTCTATTTCATTTATTATTTGTTTAACATGAAACACACTATTGTAATTGCCAAGATGCCGAGAATCATGTACTGTATAAAAGGATTTTTGATACTATGTAAGAGGGTTTTTAATATTTTTAAATGGGTTCCATAAATTGGTTAGTTTTCAGGCTAAAGCAAGTGATATATATATATATATATATATATAACCTCTTTGGTCGTTTGACACGTGACATATTTTGGAACTCATAGAATTATTCCATCTTGACACATTGGATTGACAACTAAAATTTGTGGTTTAATGAGCCCAAGTAAATTGTTTCATCTTGATATATTGGGTTTGTAGTTATTGCTCCATATTGACATATTGGGTTTGTATTTATTANTCCCATGTGATTCATCTCGAACAAGCCCTTAAGATTCTATAAGACAACGAATTGGTAATGAACAGGAAGAAGTGCCTGTTCGGTCAACAGAAACTAGAGTATTTAGGCCATTTAATTTCAGCGCAAGGAGTGGAAGCAGGCCCACACAAGATTGAGGCGATGGTTAAGTGGCCTGTTCCGACCAATGTGAAAGGTCTACAGGGATTTTTAGGCCTTACGGGATATTACCGGAGATTTGTCAAGGGGTATGGCAGTATTGCACAACCACTTACTGATTTGCTTTAAAAAGATTCATTTAGTTGCAATTAGGGAGCACAAATTGCTTTTGATAGACTCAAGGAAGCTATGACTTCGATTCCAGTCTTAGCAGTTCCAAATTTTGCACTTCCCTTTGAAGTGCAAACTGATGCTTCAGGCAGGGAATGGGAGCAGTTCTGGTCCAACAGTCAAGACCCATAGCTTACCTAAGCAAAGCCTTTTCCCCACAAGCAAAACAGAAGTCAGTATATGAACGAGAACTAATGGCAATCGTGTTTGCAGTGCATAGGTGGAGCCCGTATCTATTGGGCAAACGATTCGTCATCAAAACTGACCAAAGGAGTCTGCAATTTCTCATTGACCAGCGAATTAAAACTCCTAAACAACGAAAGTGGCTGTCCAAACTAATGGGGTTCCCTTTCGACATTCACTACTGGTCGAGAAAAACAAATAAGGTGGTCGATGCTTTATCACGAAGAGTGGAGGGACCAGATTTGAACACCATTTTAGTAGTACACTTTACAGAATATGAAGATTTAGCCAGTGAAGCACAACAAGATCCCAAGTTGCAGCCTATCATTTAGGACCTTCTCTTTGACCCTAATAGTTGACCACACTATAGACTTAGGCAAGGGTGTCTTTTGTACAAAAACAAAATTGTTTTACCAAAAGGCTTCAGATTCATAGCTAAACTCTTGGCAGAATTCCATTCCAGCCCAGGTGGAGGGCATTTAGGGTTTTTTAGGACTTACAAACGGGTGGCCAACATTGTTTATTGGGAAGGGATAAGGCAAGATGTTCAAGATTTTGTGAAGGCCTGCATTATTTGCCAAGTCAATAAGTATTCAGCCCTCAAGCCAGTCGGGCTTTTACAACCTTTGCCTATACCTGAGCAAGTGTTTGACGACTTGATGATGGATTTTATTGGAGGTTTACCACGAGCCAAGGGGTTCGATAGTATCCTCGTGGTGGTTGATCGGCTCACCAAATACGGCCACTTTATCCTTTTGTCTCACCCTTTTAGTGCGAAGGAGGTTGCTACGATATTCATGAAGGAAATTGTTAAGCTCCATGAATTTCCCAAATCTATAGTCTCGGACTGAGATCAACTCTTTATGAGCAATTGTGGCAGGAAAGCTCAGTAGCGGGAATTCTCTCAAGTTCAGTTTTCCGCATACCACCCACAAACGGATGACCAAACCGAAGTGGTCAAGCGGTGGTAAAGCGATATGTAAGAAGTTTCTGTAGTTCCCAACCAAACAGTGGACAAATTTGCTCTCTGGGGCAGAGATATTGATCACACACAACGTACCATGTTTCACTAAAATGACACCTTCAAGGCCTTTAGTCAGAGGCCCCACCACTCCTCAAGCTAACGATTACCCCTCCTCAGTTGAAGACGTGAAACAACAGCTAATCACCGTAATGCATCGTAAAATGAACTTAACATCACTTGGAATCTGCTCAAGGACACATGAAGAGGCAGGTGATAACATCGCAGAGATATCAGCTTCTCTCCGGGACGATTTTGTTTTACCTCAAACTTCAGCCCTAAGGTCAGGTCTTTAGCCGGAAACTGAATTAGAAAACTCAGTCTAGGTTTTATGGGCCCTTGAGGTGGTGGACAGAATTGGTCTGACAGCTTACAAAACTGGTCTACCTCCACTGCTCGAATTCATCCAGTGTTGCATGTGTCACAGCTCAAACGCAGCCTACACAACTCCGTTCAGTTCAGCCACTTCCCACGTTTTCACCAAAGATATGGGGACGCCAGGTTCACCCACAATCAGGTCCTGGCGGTGCAGTCCCTACTCAATGGTACCAAAGAGGGCCCATTCAATGGAAGGACTGCCCCCCTTTGAAGCTACATGTAGTCTTTCGACGTCATCAACACGCAATTCCCAATCCATCTCCCGTAATATGGTCTATAAGTCGAGGGTTCGTAAAAAGAGCACTAGGGGTAATGAGTGTGATGTGAGCGTTTGTACGGGATTGCATGAACGTGGCTGGATAGAAAAAGTTTGTTAGGAGTAAGGTTAGTTTAGTAAGTATCGGGTTATAAATAGCCAGAGAGTGGTAAAGGAGGTATCAAGTAAATTCTGAAGGTAATTGGGAGGCTCCTAGCTCCTCGAATTGTGGGGATTGATCTGTGGTCACTCTTTGCTGTTGCTATCATTTTCAGTATACAATAATATCATTCAGTGTTATCAGGTTGTGTGTGTACTTTCATTTCTGCTTCTTGTGTTTTGTGGGTTGGATTGAGTTAATTGAACAGGGGTTCCATCTAAAAATAAGCAAAAAGTAAGCCTTAGTTCCAATTACATTGCATTAACTTACAGAGACGCTTTTGCACTGTAATCCTTCTGATAAGTATATCATTGTGTTGTTGGAACTTGCAAATGCAATAGATTTCTTTAGAGTCCTCTATTGCTAGTGTAGCTTCTTTAAGACTTGTCTTCTTTATTCAAGGGATATAAAATGTGCCAATATTGGTGGATGCAAGGA